GCACTGGGACACCCCATTGCTGCTGAAACAGGGAGAGACCCCAGGCAACACTCCGGGGACCCGGCTCCAGCGTCAGGGAGGAGCAGGATGAGCAGGCGGAATGACATTGCCGAGAGCAGCTGTGAACACAGAGCAGCAAGAAACAGTTTGTTAATTATTTCACAGGTCTTTTTTTAAATGACACTCAGCTCTTCGGATTAAAGAACCCAGAGTGCTTTACGAATCCGAGTTGCCAGTGGCTCCCCTGGGAGAGAAGGAAACGTTATCCCTTTCGCTGAAGGACCCCGGGGTTAAGTGGGCTGCTCTGAGCCACAGCCAGCCACGGGCAGGAGCTTGGCTTTCCAGGCGCCTGCTCTAATCACACATCTAAGGAACGTAATCAAACTGCACCGCACACGGAGAGGCAGCACAGAAAACAGGCAGGGCCCCAGAGAAGGAAAACGAGTAAAGGGGGTGAAGAGCAAAGCTCTGAAATCAGCCTTTGCATCGTTCTCGGTCTAGTGGCAGGAATGCTGCTGCGGGCCGGGCAGGAAGCTGCAGTGGAAGTCATTCCAATGGCATTTCCTGGAGAGCACTGCAGAAAAGCCTCCCAGGTCGCAGGCAGGGTGAGGAGCTGCCAGGGCTCTGTTGAGCCCAGTTCTCCAGCCGTCAGTGAGGATACAGCTACATGGGCTGCTCACTCCAGGCAGGACAGTCTGAGCCAAGACCCTGCCAGCAGCTCCCAAAGCCAGGGAGGAACACACAGGAATGTGAAGGGATTGGGGGGGACCCTGCTGGCAAAAGGACAGTATTTTTTTCCCCAAGCAGGTGATGACAATGGGGCCATGGTCTCAGCTGCAAGGGATCAAGGCTGTAAAATAATTACAGAGGCCAAAGTGCAAAGCAACAGCCCAGCTGAGCTCCACAGGCCACTGAAGGGGATTCACAGAATGGTTCGGGCCGGAAGGGACCTTAAAGCTCATCTTGTTCCAACCCCTCTGCCACGAGGAGGGACACCTTCCACTATCCCTGGTTGCTCCAAGCCCCGCCCAACCTGGCTGTGAACACTTCCAGGGATGGGGCAGCCACAGCTTCTCTGGGCAACCTTTGCCAGGGCCTCAGGACCCCCATAGTGAAAAATCCTTTCCTAACATACAATCTGACTCTGCCCTCTGCCAGTGTGAAACCATTGCCCCTTGTCCTGTTACTCCATCTTCTTGTCCAAAATCCCCCTCCAGCTCTCTTGGAACCCCTTTGGGCATTGGAAGGGGCTCTAAGGTCTCCTCGGAGCCTTCTCTTCTCCAAGCTGAACAACCCCAACTCTCACAGTCTGTCTCCACAGAATTCATCTCCAAGACTGCAAAATGTGGCCTTGGCTATGCTCAGTCACCTCCACAGTCAGCTCTGAGTTTTGGAAAATGACACTCCCAGGTAACGTGGTGGTGGCAGGGACAGCTTGTGCAGGATACCTGGGTGATGGCACAAGGCCAAGAAGTGTTTCCCAAGAGCTGAGAATCAAAGTGTAGGCTCTCAACCTGAAACCATTGAGGAGCCTGGAGCCAGAGCACAGGACGAAATCCCAGCTGCACTCTGTCATATGACACAGGCTGAGTCATTTCCTACCATTCAGAAAAAACTAAAAAGATAGAAAATGAGTTTGCTATATTGAAATCTTCAAAGGGTTTTCCCCAAAGAGAACCACAAGCTTCCAGGCCACTGCAGAGCAACACAACACATGTCCCAGCACACAAAGTCCTGTGTGGCCAGGGCCAGCTGAGAGCCCGGGAAGCACCACGCAATCGCAGGAAGTAGTCCATCCTCCTTCAGCCCAGCCCAGTTTGTTGGGATTCAGATGTGACTGGTGACAAAGAGGCTGTTTGCTTTCACAGCCCCCTCATACTGGTTCCCACCATTGGCCCCACAAAGAGGAAACCTTTGACTTGCCATCCACAGATATACCTCCAAGCCCCTCCAGAACACCCTCCTTAAATCCCACTCTGAATGTGGGTTTAGCCTTGAAGGAAGAGCTGTCATGCACTGGAGGGTCACAGCCAGGCAGGAACTACTGCTCACTTTCCTTTCTCAAACAGATTAAGCACGGTCAGTACATCTCTGCCTGCCAGGCTCTTTCCTGCTTGCTCTGCGCTTCCCCCTCCTGCCTTTCCACCCACCAGATTTCTCCCTCCATGACTCCTGATACCCACTGGGATCACCATTTGAACTTCATGGCTAGTGGGATCTGGTCCTGGCCAAAGCAACTGCCCCAGGAAAGCTTCTTCTATGGATCTGATGGCTTGCCAAGGCAGCAGCTCTCTCCTGACTGGTTATTAAACATTCCCCTTGGGTTGCTCTCGTTTGTTTGTTTTCCCAGTGCCAGATTGCAGAGAGGAGGGCAAACCAAGGCAGTGACAAAACACTCCCATGTTAACGCTATGGAGTGAGATTTACCATTTCCCCCTTGCCTCAAAAAATGATTTCTCAAGAGAACTGCTACAGCCCAGCACGCAGCAGCCTCCAAAGGCACCTGCACCCCGCAGCCACCCTATGCTGCCTTTGTTCCACTGGTGGTGAATGAAACAGAGCTTCCTACACAACCGTGCTGTGCGGCACTTGTGACGGAGCCACGCTCCTTCCCTCTTTCAGAGGGGCTTTTCAGGAAGAACAGTGCTGCAGCTCTCCAAAGCACAAACCACCTGGGCCCTGCCAAGCAGGCCTGCCAGAACTTGCATCCCTCTCACCGGGACCTGCCTGCTGCACCTCTCGGGAGCGCTTTGTTTGCATGGGACAGGCTCTAACAGCTCCGATGCACCAAACGGAATTCCCTGTGCAAACAGGGCGGCAGGAGAGGGACGGCTCCAGCACAGCCAGAGCAGGAGGGTGGCACTGCTCTTGCAAGGGAGAGCTGGCAGCGGGCCAGCGGCTTTCTCCCTGCAGCTGGAATCGCGCGAGAGCGAAGGGAAGCGAAGCATCCCCACGCACACCCCACACATGAGGCACCCGGGAGCTCTTATGGCCTCTGTCCCTTGGCATGGACTGGGATGGATGCCCCCAAGAAGGGACATGGTAAAACCTCAGCCTGGGGGAAAGCTATGGCTGAGACCACAAACAGGCACTGGTGGGGGTTTGCAACAGCTGGCAGCAGCCGCAGGCCCGGCCCTGTTTTTTAGGTGGCTGGTGAGGTGGATCCTCCCCACTTTGGCCTTCATCACCCTGCCCAGCTCCTCTTCAGCTCTCAGCAGAGCAGCACAGCCAGGGGAGGGAAGTTAGAAGCTTGGTTCAAGGTTAGAACAAGAGAGCAAGGCTGTCCCCTGAGTGGGAAACGGCGATTTTCAAAGCGAGAGCTGGTGGGCGGGTCAGATAGAGAGGGAGTCCTGACCCTTCCGCAATCTGTTGAACAAATATTTGCTCCAAACAATTAATTTAGAGACAGACACAAAAAAATTGAAGAGTCTGAATCGTCATGGTTGGGGGTGGGGAACAGAGGGAGGAGGTATTTCATTCCCTGCAAGCAGGGACCAGTGATTTTCCACCAGTGATTTAATCTAAATCCCCCAGAGAGTTCATTTACAAAAAATCAGATTGCATTATCGCCTAGGTCTCCAGGATACAGCCCAATCCGTCACTAACAGCAACAGCCACACTAGCTTGGAAACCTCAATTTGATCACTCAATTCCAAGACTAATCTGTGGCTTTAAAAGCCAAGGCCAGAGGGAGGGGGAAGGACCTCTGAATTTGGCCAGGGTTATCTGCAGGATGAGAGAGCTAATGGGCCAGATACAGCCAGATGAAATGGTCAGCAGATCCTGGGTTATTAATCGAAACCAAGCTCCTCTCCTTGCCTGAGCAGCCCCACCCAGGCAGTGCCCCAGGGCGGCCACATTCTTGGAATTCCTGCACCCTTCAGGAACTGGCTCCCTCTCCCTGGGTGCACTGGTTCCCCCTCTTCTCCAGGGTCCCCAGCATTGCTGGCTAGGCACAGGGAACTGGGGAGAGCCTTTCCTCTGTCAGGAGGGTGCAGAGCACAATGCTGAGCTCCAAGGCTCCCGTCCCCTTCCCAAAATATGGGGTTCTGCTGATGGACCGTGAGCTGAAGGGGGCCAAGAGGTCTCAGCTCCCAGCAAGGAGGTGGTTCCCCACCATTTATATGCCAATGCCTGACAGCATGAACTCTTTCCAGTGGGAACCGGTAAAGGTTACACCAGCAGGGAATCACTGGGATGCAGAAGCCAAATGAAAACTCAGACATCTGTAGGTCATATACCTCCCGCCGGCAGTCCCAGGCTGCACCGCACAGCCGGACCCGGCATTTCAAGAATGCTTCCTGAAGAAATGCTTATTCATGTTAATACCTCACTACTGAGAGCTCCCGGGGTTTGCTGCTGGGGCAGCTGGGAGCACTGCTCCCTGCCAAGGGAGAAGCAGCTGCAGGTTTAGCAGCTCCTCAGCACAGGGGTTGTCCCCACCTCAGCTCTGGCTCCCACCACACCAGCTCAGACAGTCCCAGAAGCCCACCCGTCCGCTGGGATCTGCTGTGGGATTCACTTCACCATGAGCAAGGCACAGTGCTGTCTCCAGAATGAAGAAGTAGCTGTTACCTCGGGAAACCACCAGCCAACCCACCACAGCACTGCCTTGGAGAGGAGGAAGCTCCACTCCCTGCTGTTAATGACACCAGGAATATCCCCAGAGCAAGGGCTCTGCTTGAAGAACAAGCTCGGGTAACATTAGATTTCCAAAAGAAAACAGGTCTTTTACATAACATCCAGGGAAATGGAGAAGAAACAGGGAGAAGGACACATCTGAGCACAAACTGCTTGTGTCATTGTGGTGGACTGACCCTCTTGGGACAGAGTGTTAAGAACAGAGAGGGAAAGGCCACACACGCCCCTTTATCTCCCTGCAAGAGCCAGGACAAGCAGCAGCACAAACATTGCTCCGGTCTGACCGGCCCCACTGCCAGCCTGAAACGAGGGAGGCCACGGGCAGCCACCCCCCCAGCGCTGCAGAGAGGAGCTCTTACCCATCCGCCATTCTCCTGGATCCAGGGATCTAGGTGGTCGGTCAAGTACGTGGTCATCCACGACACAATGCGCTTCACCAGTACCCGCATCTCCTTGTCAACGCTCTCCACGCACAGGGCCCCCCCGAAGGAGAAGAAAGCCACGATGCGGCCCCAGTTCACCCCGTCGCGGAACAGTTCGTTCACCACCTGCTCGAAGCTCTGGTAGGCCGTG